CAGGGAGACTGATGCAGGACTCGATCCCAGGACTCCGGGATCATGACCTGAGCTGAAGGCAGTCGCTTAACAAACTGAGGCACCCAGGTGCCCCCATCTTTAAGCTTTTTGATTTGGAATACCTTTTAGAATTCTGTAAATCACACCCATTGCATAGGGGAGCCTCTTTCACAATTAGCTACTTATATTTCATGATAGCTCCAAGGACCTTCTGCTTTTATGATTAACTCAAGTGATTATGGAATCTTTAAATGATTTTAGCCTGCAGGTATTATTTGAAGTCTGTAACAAAGTTTTACATAGCTTAACATATTTTACTCAAAATAGGGTGAAGGTGGACAAAGGGTACAAGCTTCCAGTTATAAAAAAATAATAATAATAATAAGTCCTGGGGATACAATGTATGGCATGGTCACTACAGTTAATAATTCTGTATTGCTTATTTCAAACTTGCTAAAAGAGGGAGATTCTAAAACTTCCCATGACAAGAAAAAAACTGTAAGTATGTATGGTGATGGATGTTAACTAGACTTAGTGTGGTGATCATTTCATAATAAATACCTATATCGAGCCATTGTGTTGTACACCAGAGACTACTATGTTATATGTCAATTATACCTCAATATTTTAAAGGTAAAATAGGTTAAATATTTACTATGCTAAGATTCAGGGGTTTTGTGCATTTTTTACTTTTATTTTTTTGTTGTTGTTGACTTAGTGATGCATTATAAGCTTAAAATAAACAAAAGAAGCTGAATATTATACATCAATTTTCCCTCTTCTAAATTCTTCATTCCAGTTTATATCTTTTTGACCTTTACCTAATTATCTAGCCCAGTGGCAAGATATTTCCCTTCTTTTCTTCTCTTTCTCCAACACACATAATATACATATATCCCCCCAAATGATTTTGTGTTATTTCCCTTCGTACTGATTAGATGGCAAATCTTTCATAACCACAGTGAGGAAAAAAAAAAAAAAACTTTAAAAAGGGATTTTTAACTCTCCATTTTATATGGTGTCTAATAAAGACATTATTATACCTACCTGTGTTATAGTTATAGGGAAAGATTTTTTAAAAATCACAATATTTCAATTTCTTTACAATAATAAATTGATCACTTAGTAGTAAAGAAAATAGAACCTTTTAATTTAAAATTTAAAATGTTATATTATTCATATTCTACAAATATTAAACTTGGGTTCCAGCTGACTGTTAAAATGTGAGTTTCACCTATAATTTCTCCAAAGACTTCAGAAACATCAAACCCATGGCTACAGAGAAAGGCATTTAATTGCCAAGTCAGAGTAAAACAATATTCTAGACCACCCCATCTGACACAATAGCCACCAGCCACATGTGACTATTTAAATTTAAATTAACATTAAAGTTAAATCAAATTAAAATTAACATTAGTCCCTCAGTTGCACTAGCAATATTTCAAGTACTCCGTAGCTGCAGCATGGCTAGTGACTATCTTACTAGCAGCACAGATAGAGAACATTTCTGTTATCTCAGAAAGTAGACTGAATGCAATTCCTAGACTCTTCTCCAACCTCCACTTCTAAACTTCTCTTCATTAGGTCTCCTCAATCTCCATCTTACTGGATTCTTATTCAGACCCTCCTTCTCTGCCTCCACCAGTTGGTCTCAACCTAGAAAGATTATGCCCCCCCATGGGACATTTGCAATGTCTGAGGCATTTCTGGTTGTCACAATTTGGGAGACAGGATTTAATACTGACACGTGGTGACTAGAGGCCAGAGACACCGCTGAACACCCTACAATGCATAGATATCCCTCACAATAATGAATGCTGTGTCAATCTTGCCCAAGTTGAGAAATTCTGGACTAGACTGCTCTAGATTGAAGCTGTATGTGGATTGCCCACCCAAAATTGGATTTGTTATATCCTAAGTCCCCAACTTCTGACTACTCTCAAATATCAATGTACACCATCTACAAGAAAGTAATCCACCCTAGATCCAAAGTATGTCTAGCACTCAGAGTCCCCACTAACTTAAAATAGACATAAACTACAAATTTTACTACCATGAATTCTTATTTTTAAAGAGGCTAGAATTTCCCCACATTGGGTAGATGAACAGTAATCAAACATGAGTGATGTCATGTACACTTTTATTCCTTTAGATTGTGTGTTACATGAAGGTAGGGACCATGTCTTTGCTCACCATTATATATATGCATTTATTAATATATGTATTCATCTATAGGAAGCTCTAAAAGAAAGGTAACATTGGATGGAAAAACAAGATACAGAATAGTGTAAATGATATGAACTTACTTTTATAAAAGAACGGTGAGAAAATCTTCTGAGTATGTACATATGTTTGTGTGTGTGTGTGTGTCTGGGTGTGTTCATGTGTGTGTATGTGTGTATAAGTACAGAGGAAATGGAATGATACAGTAGTTGGTCAATGCAGATTCCCTAGAAGAGTGCTACTGTCAGGGGAAAGGAGAAAATAAAAAAAGTGAAAAAAACATGTGAAACTTATGTGGCAAATCATAATGGTAAAAAGTTATATTTTCATTTTTTTAATAATGAGGCATTCAAGAACTACCTCAAATGGAACAACTGAAAGGAAAATCAAAAACATAAGATCTATTCATTAATATGGCATTTGTATTTTAGAAGAGAAACAGCTAATAAATAAGAAAAATAATATCATTTCATACAATGGTAAGTCTTCTGAAGAATATTAAAATGTAGGTGTCCGGGAGAGATAATCCTGAGCTCAGGAAAGATATCAGGGCTTGGAGAAGTAAATTTGGGATTACCAGGGTACAGATGGCATTAAAAGCTACAGGATTCAATGTGATCATCTAGAGAGGGAACATAGGGGAAGAGAAAGTTAAGGGTTGCACCCTAGGGCTCTCCAGTGTGTAGTGGCAAGGATGAAAGCTTACCCGAGATGAGCAGAAGGAGCAGAAGGGAGAAAGTGGAGATGATGAGACAAGTCCTTAAATGAGTTTTGCTGGAAAGTGTGTTGTGGGAATGGTGCAGATGAATGGGGCACAGAATGGAAGGTAACAATGGGATCAGAGGAGGCTTTCTAAAAAGGACATTTATCACAACAGGCTTGTATGTAGGAAAAGAATGGAAGTACCTGCAAGAGAAAACTCAGTGAGAAGTGTGAGGAAAAGGCGGGAAGGGTTAGGCTTAGGTTGGAGAAGGAATGACTAGATATGTCCTTATTCTTGAGGCATACATTGATATATGATGAGAAGGTACTTTCCCCTCAGAGTAAATAATATTTGAAATTATTCCACTGGATTTTATTAAAATCAATACAGATTTATATCACATCAGCTATTCCCTAGCCAAAGATCTACAACTGACAACTTCAAACGAGAAAACCATGAATTTGCATCATGGGACACATCCTCTTGTTATTTACATTCTCTAGAATTATAGACTAAAAAAGATGATGGTAATAAACAGGCAAAACACATGAACAAATATTAGTAGAGTGATATATCACTGATATATATTTCCGTTATGCTATGATCCCAGTGCTAGACAATTTCCAATAAAAAATCAAAATCTGAAGACGTCTACTCATATTTTAAAAGAAAAAAGATGGGGGTGCCTGGGTGGCTCAGTCAGTTAAGTGTCTGCCTTTAGCTCAGGTCATGACCTCAGGGTCCAGGGAGCGAGTCCTGCGTCGGGCTCCCTCCTCAGTGGGGAGTCTGCTTCTCCCTCAGTCTCCCTCCGTGCTCTCCCTCTCTCTCTCTCTCTCAAATACATAAATAAGTAATTTTAAAAAAAGATAATTTATATCCAAACCAGAAAAACTTCATTCTTAGAAATTTCTCAAGTAAATGTCCTTTCTACCCAATAGCTATGCTACTCTGTAGTGGGTAAGATATGATTTTAAAGCCACTGATCAATGTGCTCCTCCTTCCTTGTAATTCAAGCCAAGGACACCAACATCTTTTAGACTCATCTGAACTGTGAAAAAGAAACACCCTTGCCACTTTTTTTTTTTTTTGAACTTTTGGTATACCTAAAACTAGGGATTTCTTAAACCTTGACAGCAAAAGCAGATCACTAATAGCCGCTAGAAATGCAGCAATCTTTTACAACAGGTTTTTAATAGCAAGTATCAGAGAAAGCAAGAAAAATGTTTCATTTCCCTATCTACAGATGTAGGCACAAAATTATACAGTCAAAAAAGTTCATGTAAACTTGTTAATTACAGGAATAATAAACTAATGTTGAATAAAATTGGCCATTTGCCTTTTATTTATAACCCTTCATTTTCATTCACAATGACCCTAGTCAGGTACATTTATTTTCACACATTATTCTATACTTACAAAGATAGAAATCTACAAAGATAATTTTTAAAAGATCTCTGCAAATAGGAGACTTAAAACATTAACTGCCTAGTGTACTTTCTCTACATATCCAGTTTTCTTCCTATCAAGAACAATTGGATAATTCAGGGATTGTCAATGGACCCAGGAATAAGAGAACATGATCTTTTTTTCCCTTTACTGCTGAATAAAGTAGGTCAAAATCCCAGCAAAAATCTCCTTACCCAGCAAAATCACTTTGGTAAAACTGTCCTTTTATGTAAGTTGTTTTTTATTTACAATTTTGTCTTTTAGGAAAATTAAAACATCCAAATTACTCTTCTGATCATTTGTAAACTCTTAATTATTATGGCTCAAGAAACCAAAGCTAGGAAACATCGCAGAAACCAAAACCACACTGATATGACACATTTTATGTTCAGAGAGCAAAACGTGGGCAAGCTTGGATTTTTATAACTAACATCTGTTTATAAATCAGTCTATCACACTAGTTTTAAACAAAATACTTGAATCCAAAAATAGTGAAAGTGGATAATGGAACCTGAGTGTACAAAGTCCCTAGAGGAACAGATAAAAAATTGGCACAAGAGAATGAGATGTTTTCATACGTTCTGACTCAGATTTCTGTTGTTGTATTTATTCAGTTTGAAAGGCTTACCATCTTGCTGGCCATGAAGAGCTTGAGGACTTTGCATTCTTTCCTCAAGATTGGAGCTAAGATCAGAGTTCACAGCTGACATCCGTGTTGAATCACTCATATCAAATTCATCACTCTCTATTGAACTTTCATCCTGAAAATGGTTTTAAAATATCATCAAGCATCATAAAATATAACACATTCAAATAGTGACCATTTTATCTACAGGGTCAATTAGAGTTTAGCCAGCAAGTAAGCTTTTACAGAACTCAGCAAAACATGTTACATATTAATAGATACCTGAAATAACAAATAATGTAATAATTTCTCCCTTTAAGGAATTTCAAGATTTGTGAAAAATCGAACAATGTATCTATGCACAGACATATTTAAAAGGTTAAAATAATATGTTTAGGAAGGATGTAGTTGGTGAATTATCCTAAATAATGAAAAATGGATTTTTTAATTAGTAAAAACTTCCTAGAAGAGTCATATCACAAAATACAAAATATAGAGAAGTATATGTTTTGAGTCTAAAAATAAATTACTTAATAAAATATTATAAGCAAAAATCTTAGGACGCAGTAAGAAGACCTTAACCAAAAAACTGTCATTGGCAAACAGGATGGATTCTAATAATTGACAAACTTACATGGCTAGGTTGAAAATCCACATTTACTGACAGCAAGATTTTAGCACATCCCTTCTTTCATTATAAGTGAATATACACTCTACTGTAACCCCAAAAAGAAGTTCTGGGTAGAAGTGTGCAAGATTCATTTCCCAAAAGCCAGTTCACCAAGTGGAGAAATTACCAAAAAGGCCAGTTTTCCAAACACCCAATTCATCAAAACCTGACAAAAATGAACTTAAATCAAATCTAAGATATTTTGCTATAGCCATTTCACTGAAGCGAACTCCTGTTGGAGAGTTGATTTTTGGCCAATGGTAGGCTTATGTGGGAAGAGGGGCCTGAGGAATCTCCTGTGACATACTGTAAGTATTGAATCAAAATCACCAGGTTTGACTTTAATTTGTGAATGTCTGATCTGAAAGTTTAGCATTAATATAATAATTAGCAGCAGCTGTAGTTGTAGTGCTATTAATGTTACAGATTAACTGTTTTTTATATTTGTCCACTCACCAGCTTTATCACCATCTGTGAATCAGATGAATCCTGGGACTCATCCCATTTTACAGATTGAGAAATTGAGGCACAGAGCAGTTAAAGAATGTGTCCCACTATTATATACCAGAACTGGGATTTATATGAAGTCACTCAGGCTTGAGAAAATAGCTTCTTTGAATAGGAAGAGTTACCTTGGCTTCATATATGACATCTTGGTATCAGCAAAGAAGTTGCTATGGTTAGGGGACAGGAACGTTCTAGTAGACTAACAAATTGGCATTCTGATCCATAGGTCAAGTCAAGGTGATTTTGGTGTCCTTCCTTTACGAAAGGTCTGATCATGTCTGGGTCTACTGAGTAGCACTAGCTCTTCATTAATTCAGCAAGGAAATGCCACCCTGCGAGGCCTCTGGGCAATCAGCCACATAGACTTCTCCCGGCGGCATGCCCTCTCTCTCGGTACATTATGTTTTCTCCAATTCTAAATTCTAAGAAAATCCAAAGCATCTGAAATAAATATATATGTTAAAAAGAGAAAAAATAACAGGATTCAATGTGCACATCAATGTTATCAGTGTGTACCATATACATATACATATATGCACACATAAGTGACAGTCATTATATACACTACATATAGTGTCTACGGCATGATAGTAATTTAGAGCACATTCTCTAGAGCCAGACTGAACTGATTTAGATCCATGCTCTGCTGCTTAGATATGTTACCTTAAGCAAGTTACCTAACCTTTCTGTGCCTCAATTTCTTCATCTATAAAATGGGAATAATAGCATCAATCTCATAGGGCTATATAAAAATTAAGGAAATATAATAATATTTAAAGTAGTGAGAACAATGTCAGATATATAATAAGTATAAAACTGTTTAATATTTTTATGTAGACTATATAGGAAATTCTACAGCATATAATAGGATTCATATTGATTATATTTTATGAACACATACAAAAAATAAACTTAATAGTAAAGATGACTAACATGTATTTATAAAATAGCTGTGTATTCTACATAAACATAGTCTTTAGAATCAACATTTATTATATATATTACAAATAGTTAATTTCCAATATATACCATCTGATATATATTATGTGTGCATGTGTATGTATGTGTGTGTGTAAAACGTATGTGTCTATGAGACTGTATGTGTGTTTAAAGAAAAGCTAGACACAAAGAGATCACAACCTCTGACCCACAGAATGATTATATAAACTGCTATAACGCATTATGAATAATCAACATTTTATCAGCAATAAATAACACTTATATCAGCATGCTTTTTAAGAAATGTGGACAATAAATTAAATGGTTATATAACCAAATGTACTCGTTATTTTATTTTTTTTAAAATCACCATTCTATTTATCCTAAGTGGCTTAATGATTGTGACTATCTTAAATATTTTCCTCCATGATTTCCCATGAAATATAATTCACTGTTCCCAATTCTACTCATTAGAATATAAATTATCCAATTGCTTAGATTTAAGACCTTTAATGAAACTAAGTGCATTCATTCTGTCAGTTCTATTCCAATTATTAAATAATTAAATTACTATCTTTTGTTTGTTTTTTAAGAGGTGGCAAAAGTATATAAAATATAGTACTGTGGGTTTTTTATTATCAACATAGAGGCAATGCTAATCACTCTGGAAAGAAATTACTGAAGATTTCTAAGAGTGAAGAATCAGAAAACTTTACTGATATGATTTTAAGTATTTTATTTTATTCATGATCATCTGTAAGCCATTCATCTAAATTCTTCCCTCTGTGAGTATTTTATTCTGAATGATAACCAGAAAAAGAGTCTTCACATCCTACAGTGTGACCTTATTCCTTATGTTACTAAAATCTTATCATAATGAAAGCTATGACCAGTTATCATAGCATTTGCTTCCCTAAAACTTAATTTTTAAAAATTAGAATAAATATTTTACTATAATAATTTTATCCCGTCTTTTTCCTTTTAAGACAGTTGCTTGAAATTCAGATCCCTGATCTGTTCCATATCTTATTTTAGTTTTCAAGTTCCAGATTTTACCTCTAAAGAGTCTGTACCATGTAACTCTCAATTTCCATTGGTATTGTCCTGATCTCATGTTCCCATTTCCTGAATGATGAATAATAGTCTCCTAGTCATCTACCCACCTCCAGGTTCTTCCCCACCAGTCCTGTTCATCGACTACTGTTAAATTAATCTTTCCACTTCAGAGAGTGCCTCTTCTCTGTTCATAAATTTGCAGCTATATTGAAGTCAATCCAAATCTACCAAGTAATGTATAAACTGCTCTATCAAACATTAAGGGGTTTCCATAAGACTGCTTGAAAACTGCTCTCACCAATCTCTTCTTTGTTCTGTTTTTCACTTACCTTATGCTCAAATCAACTTAAAGCCTATATTATTAGCCTTCCCATGAAATGTACCACCTCAGACCTTAGTGTGCATGAGGGTAGATACCGTTAAAAATTCAGATCACCAGGTGTCACATGCTAGGTCTAGAATCAGAATCTTGGGGTGGGGGGGTCCTGCAACATGCAGCTAACTAAGCTACAGGGGTGCCCCTGATGCTGGTTATTTAGCCAGTAATGTTCAGAAAAATATTCTGTGCTGATGGAATGGCTCTATAGTATTCCCTATTCAGTCAGGTGACTACCAGCCATACTTGGCTATTGAGCACTTGAAACATGGTTAGTGCAACTGAAGAACTGAAATTTTAATTTTCATTAATTTTCATTAATTTTCAATTAAATTTAAATGTCCACATATGGCTGGTGGCTATCATATTGGGTCAGTGAAGATCTGACAATTCCTCATTGTTGGATCTTGAAAATATTTCCAATTATTCATGATTAGCAATGCAACAAACATCCTAATATATAAATTGTTTCATTCATCACATCCCTTAGTACAAATTTCTAGACAAAGCATATGAGTAACTTGGGGAGGGTATGTGCTATGATGAGCGCTGTGAAGTGTGCAAGACTGTTGAATCATAGATCTGTACCTCTGAAACAAATAATGCAATATATGTTAAGAAAAAAAAGAAGAAGATAGCAGGAGGGGAAGAGTAAAGGGGGGGAAATCGGAGGGGGAGACGAACCATGAGAGATGATGGACTCTGAAAAACAAACTGAGGGTTCTAGAAGGGAGGGGGTGGGGGGATGTGTTAGCCTGGTGATGGGTATTAAAGAGGGCATGTACTACGTGGAGCACTGGGTGTTATGCACAAACGGTGAATCATGGAACACTACATCACAAACTAATGATGTAATGTATGGTGATTAACATAACAATAAAAAATTTAAAGAAAAAAAGCATATGAGTAACTTTTAAAAGTTTTTAATAATTACTGCCAAACTTCCTCCCTGTAAGTTAATCCTGGTTTAAACTCCATCATCAATTTATAAGAAAGTCAACTGATCTTAAGTTGGATAAAGTATTTTGTAATCTTAAAGGGATTCCCATTCCTGTATTTCTCTCTCTTAATAGCATTTCTCATCTTCTTACAAACATACTTTCCTTACTTACTTCCTTTATTTTCTCTCCCTCACTAGAAGTTAAGTTTAATAAAGGTAAGATTTTTGTCAATTTACTCACTGTTTACCTCCATTATCTACAAGAGGGCCAGTTACATAGAAGGTACTCAATAAATATTTGTTAAACTAATTAAATTAACACATTAAAATTTAAATGTAACTGAGCACAAAGAAATATATCACTTGAATTCCTTTTTAATGTGATTTACTTAATGACCTTCCTATCTTTCAATAATCATAACTTCTAAAATTTTGCAAATAATGCAGTCACTTATCCGAATATTTTTAAGGCAGTGTACATCCAGTTGGTATCTTCAAAACGTAAGAATGAGAGTTATTTTCCTAATCCAGTTATAAATTAAAAGGATCTACTTCCTTTGTGTGAAATACTTATGATTTTTTAGAAGACAGAAGGATTTAGCATACGTGGGCTGTACTGTTGGCACAAAGTTGATCTTCTTACTTTTTAGCCTAGAAATAAATGTACCAACATCTGAATGAGCTTCCTACAAATAATTTGACAGCTCTAACTAGTTTATGAAGTTTTAAATTTTTTTCCAATTATATAATAAATGATGGGAATAATTTTTCCATTCTCTGGGATGGATAGACATTAATGTTTTTTTAGTTATCTCTCATGTCTTTAACCCAATGATTTTATTACTATTTATTTAATCATTTATATGTAGCCATCCGGTAATATGAAATCCAAACTGCCGTTGTACAAATGCAGATCATCTCATAGTTTACCCTTACTAGTTTTTTGAGATAAAACAAATTTATAAATATAGTTTTGAGATTAAATCTGTTCAAATACAGAGGAAAACAAAACAAAACAAAAAAACGAGTTTTAATAAAGTAAGCTCAACAAAGAATTTTATAATACTTCACCAAATAATGCTGTATTTGAAAAATATTTAACCACATTTCCTGTTCTTGAGAAATTTCAAGAAGGAGTATATGTACTAGCCTGAGAAACTATTCCTAATATTGATAATCTGAATGTGCCTATTAATTAATGGCTACTAAACTAGTTTACAAGGATTTCCCAAGTCCCTATTGCTACAGGTTTTGGGGGGAATATATATAACTTGGTCCCTGTCTTTGAGATACTTCCACCAAACTGAATAGTTAATTAGTATCCTAGAGAATATTCAACAAATGTGCATTTGTGTCTAATACCTGCCAGCAAGCATATTTCTAGATTCTTACCATACAAATTAAACAGAATAACTTGAAACATTGAAATACCTCTAATTAGGAAGAATCACCGAACTTATCTCTAGAAAATGCGGAGAAGTAGACAAACTAATAGAATAATGAAAGGAAAAAAAGCATTAAAACGTATGAAAGATTTAGATGGTGGAAAAATTATTATACTTGAAATACCTATTAAAATGACTTTTTTTTACTTCCAGGCAAAATAGCCTTCGTACTAAAGGCCTGGATACTTTCCTTGGATACTCTCATTCAGGATGCTTTCCCCTGAACTTTCTAGCCCTTTACCAAGGCCGGCTTGATGGCAGTTAATTAAGGAAAATGAATCTTTCTTGGGAACGAACACATTCCCACAGAGCACTAAGGTAGCTGCATTGAGACAGGGACTCTCTATCAAGGACTAGAAGTTTCTGCCCGTTTCTCCATCTGTGCAATCCCAGTGACATTCTTTTCATTAAAAAATAAATTACCGTCTTCACAATGCCGTCATGCTTAATACGATAGTCATGGCTATCAAACTTCATTCTGACTTGGAAGTAGATATTTCCGCTTTACCTCATCTTGCTGTGAGTTTAGCAGCTGCAATTTCATATGCTTCATATAGGCCATGGTAATGGGCATGTTGTAGTCAATCATGCTGGTCACCAAAGTGGGAGGTTTTCCATTATCTGTAATGAAACATTTTTAATGGGTATGAAAGTGATACCACATTCTACCTGTAATTTCAGAATGATTCAATTTGTTCAAATTGAAATAGGATTCTAGATATCAAGTCTTTAGGAGATTGGTAGCATTATGGATGGGTTGTAGGAAAAAAATAACCATAAAAAGGTGTATGGGCCAAATTAACACTACAGATAATTAGTTATCTCTAACTCTAGGGGAGCTTTTTGATACCCCAGTAACAGTGGGTGAAGCCAATATAGTGATTAAACACGATTACCTGTATTTTTGTATTTTTCTCCCTTGCTGCATAACTACTTTCTCTATGGGCTACTTGAGTGAAAAAGGAAATTTGTGCAGTTTTTTTTCTTATATCTTTTTCTTTTTTGTCTATTCATCCCCCAACATATGGGAGTGGGCTAGCCTAAATGTATCTTTGAGATTAATTTAAACTCTGAGAGAAATTGATAGATTAGGAAAATCATCTAAATAATTTTTAATGAGAGCTAAAGACAAATTATAACTTGCATATAAAAATTTTCAGTTAGGGAGCTCCGTACTACTCATCACTTTCACAAATAAGGAATTGGTAGGTTTAAAAGGACACTGATGGAACATCAATTTCCTTGCTAAATATATTTAAAATGCCATGAAATACACACAATATGTGAAAGCTAAAATATTATTATAGGAAAAAAATTATTTGCCACAGCCAAAACTGCCTTTCTTCTGAGAATGGGCACAGAATTATTCTGGAAGTGGATATTCAAAATTTACTGCCTCCTACTCCAATAAATGAGATGATCTGACTTGTTGAACTGTTTCAGTCTGACACATTTTTATAAAAATGTGGGGTATAAATTGCCACTATGAATAGAATTACTTTAAGTCTTGCTATTTGACACTGTGGCTACCTTTGTGATCTGTTCCATCTGCGTTTAAATGCATTCTTTTCTGGCACTCTGAGCAGCTCATTAGAAACCGTGTCACCGCTTCTCTTGGTAGGAAGGCATAGCTCTCTGAAATCTGAAATGATTCACAAAATAGAGGTGTTATTATATAAGCTGACTGAGCCTGAGTCAACAGAAATGATCAGTGTATTTCCAAATAAGACGCATTATTCCATAATGGCAGGAAGCACAATGAAAGCATGCACTGCATACCATGCATCATTTCAAGAAATATCTATCCAACTTGATTGCATGTGTCTTAATAATAGCTAATAATGTGATGTGGAGAAAAAAATCAACCACATCTGGATGGATATCTGTTTATATTTCTGCATTTCTTTTAGGAAAAGTAATCACAGGGTGCAGATAGTCTAGTGAATTTTCCTTATTAAAAATTGTCAACGTTGTTTTTAAACTTACTGCTAGGACCACCATAGTTTTATCCAATTTTACATATATTTTAAAAAATTTAGCCCCAACTAGAAACAAGAAACTTTGGACTTTGAATTAATGAGCATTTCTTCATTATGGCTTTTCCAAAACATTTTAATTGAAAATAACAGATAATTCTAAGAGAACTCATACATATTTACTGCAGTGAATCATCCCTTCCACAGAAAATGACACACCTGGAAATGCATTTTGGCCACTTCTTCCATTTGTTATCTTATGTCAGTCTTTCATAATTTATGTCCACAACAGCTCACACTGAGTGTCAGATCAAGCTTTCCTCATACCCTATACAGAGTTTCTATTTTCAGAACCATGATCTAGAATCACATTAGAAATCAATACTCCTGTCAGTAATTTTTAAAATATTAACTTTTCAAAAACCAAGATATTTCTCTTATCAAAGCAAATAATTTCTGAAGGGAAGCTGACAGATTGTTAAATTTCTCTAAATAAAAGCAGACATGGACTCAGACAGTGGTACTAAGAAGTGTGATACAGGGCATTAGTCTTCCACCATCACACTAATGCTGGTACATGAAATACGAGATAAAGAAGAAGAAGAAATGAGTTGGGAATTAGACATAAATGCTACAGGCAATTTCTCAGGTGCATGCACAGCTGTTATGAACACTACTGTATTTTAAGTTTGTAGATAGGAAAGAAAATATGCAGTTTGTGTATAATTAAGTACAAGTCTACACCAATCCCATTAATAGTGATGGGGTCAACTTTTACTTGTTCATGCTGTAGAAAGAGCACACCATTGAAGAAACCCCATATATTAAAATCCCAAATCGTAAGTCATACTTTGCCTTGAATTTAATAATAAAATCAGTTTGCATCACTTATCCTAGATCAGGGCAAAAAAGCCATAAGAATACCAAAGAGAAGGTTTCAGTCCACAATTAAAATCTCTTGTGGCTTGTCCATACACAGGTATTAAAATTCAACTCTACTAGGGTTTTTAATATAACTATCCTTTGTAAATTAAAATTTGTTGTCTGGTTTTAAAACATACTTCTTCATACTGTACAAAGAATTGTGAGAGAAAAATAAACAGAACAATTTGAAAATATTTCATCAAACTATTCTATATTAGTCATTGAATAAGGAAATATATACACAATTTAAATTCTCACTTTCTCTTATGTTATTTCCCCTAACTACACACACACACACACACACACACACACACACACACACACATTTGATTCCTATTCATCTGTTTTACTGAGGGAACTCACACCTCTGCCTGATTTGTTTATCTAACTTAAAGATCTTTTTTCTTTTTTTCTGACTCTCTGAAAACCTACATTAAAGCAATTCAGAAGTTAAAAAAAAATCCATGAGACATGCCTGCCTGGTCCTGATATTGTAACTCACATGGAGTCATAGTCCATTGGAACTATGGGGCTGACCAGTAAATTCAACAAACAGGATTTGAGAAGAATGTCCGATTGATTTTCATAGAGGAATTCTATTACATCTTTCTCTACTTATATAAAAGAGAAACCTTCCATTGAAAAAATGATGGGCAAATGGTAGACTTGAAGACATCCTGAATTTGCTTCCAGGGTCCTGATGCTCTCCACAGTCTGCCCTTTTCCTGATGCTAAGAAGGCACCTGTGTAGGAATCCCTTCTAGACAGATTCATCACTGACCTGACTCAACTGTATTACTTGTCCCAGCACTATGTCACTCCAAATCCATTTTTTAAAATAATTATTATTAATCACATTACATTTCTTTTATAGTTCAACTCTGAAAAACAGAGTACCTGTAATGGTCACAAATATGTTTGTGTTCATGTGTACATGGAAAAAATATAAAGTCCCACTTTGTATCTTAGAAAAAAAATTCAGCAAGTATTTTATCACACTATTCTCTGCGATGTTATTCCGGCACAGCACTTGGCATGTCACTACATGTTATGTAAGTGGATAAAAGCACTTACTTGGGGCGACTTTTCTTGGTGTTCAAAATCCATTTTATGGGGAGACCTGCCAAGGCATCCCACTCGCCTCGAATTCTTTCTTGCCCACCTCAAGCTCACTGGGGCCCGCAGACCATGGAGTCTTCTTAAGCACAAGGACAAAAGACCCCCAGAACAGACTCTTTACATCTCACACTCATTTCTGAAATAATATTTCTCTGGCCATGCAGGTGAAGACGGAAAATAATTTCTTTTTCCTTATCTAGAATTTTTCCTCCCCGGCTTCTTTGAATTTAAGAATCCTAGGCAACCTTCATTGCTGAAGTTCTTAGAGTATTTTTAAAAATGAAGAAATATCCTTAAAAAGTTCTTAAATTATGGTACATTTGAATAAATACATTTCATAATTAAAGCCCTGTCTTTTGATCCTGTTGGTATCCTCCAGTAACTCCATTTAGAGATGACATTGAAAGCCCACACATGAAGCCTCTTTAGAAATTGAGGCAGGGGCTAAATGCCCTTATGGTTCCTCCTCTAATGAAAGGCTCTGTTTCCATTTGCTGGGAGTGAACATTTGAGGTGCTAAGTCAACTTTAAATAGATATTCATAACCGGTGATAAAACTCAGAGATATGTTCTTCTGCTGTCCATTCATCAAAGTCCTAACATCCTTTATGCAATATGTAATAGCTGTTGCAAATAAAACCTGGAAGTAAAGAACCCAAAATTGAAAAATATTTTGACTCGGATACTTGAAATACCATTCTACCAATACTATCATTAATTACATAAAATGCTTTAATCACGCATAAATGTCTATTTCCTTGACCCACTCTTCAAATCTAATCCACTTATTTGTTTCTGGGAGAGAAACTGAGCTTTGAATATAGAGGACATTTTCAAGAACACTGAAGAGATTAATACTTCACTTGAAAATATATTCTTAGAAATATCTTTATATTTTGGAAGGATAGAGAGTATTTACTTAGAATTTGTCCATGCAGAAACACTGCATCTTGTTGTAGTAAGAAGCAAAACAAAACACGAATGGATATTAGTCTTGCTCTCTCTGAACTAAACACTAAAAGGACAACTGCCTTATGACAAGCCACATATATTGCTTATTAATAGAAATTAACATCCAAAGGAAGGATGAGAACCTAACCATATTGAAATTTATAAACTAATGACCAAACACTATTTGTCATGTAAATAATTATGAGGCATCCCTTTCGTAAAAATGCTTTTTTTCCCTATGAATCCAGACTTGTTTTCTTAGATTTATATAATGCTTTATATTTTTCATTGACTTTTTGCATTTATTATTTTAAACAGTAGCTAAACAGATCTGATAAGTGGATTGATTGGTATGAAGAGATGAAATGAACTGCCATTGTTACACAACAGAGGACAAAGCAAAGAGCTGGAACTCAAGCCTGGATCTCCCAAATTCTTGTCTATTTCTATAAATTGAATGGACCATGGTGGCCTTATCCAGTAGAAAAATGTGTAGGGTCCAAGGAAAGCAGAAATGTCAAAATAGATTTTTAAAAATTATATATTTCAAAAACACCTGAAGTATCAAAGTATCCTCACAGGACAAAGTCAGCACTTGTGAAACTTCACTAAACTTGAGTTATGGCTGAAGATTCCGTTGGTGTTGCTTTTAATTTTGAATTAGCTATGGTTGAGAGGGGTGTAGATGTTGTGGCACAACTTATTTTTTCATTACTTACCACTTCTAAAGACCTTAATTCCTCTGTGTTTCAGACATCATTAATACTGTTTGCAATGAAAATATTACATCCTAGGTCCATTAAAACCAGAGTTCATCAATAATGCCAAATATCATGAATCAAATTATTATCATAAATTAGAAGCAGAAATGACTTCTCCCATCAAAAAAATATGGTAATATTTCTACATAAAAATAACTGAACTGCAGCATCTTTTGATAGAGTAAACAATAAAACTGGCCTCGATAGCAAAAACAGTATGACATTAGTAATCTAATGATAAAGAAATCCACCTGAAGAAGGCCTAATGATCAAGTCCCATAAGGGACACTGCTATTGATCTTCCACTTGTGGGTTAAAACAACAACAAAATATTGGCACATTTTTGAAAAGTTCACTTTTCAAATATTATGATTGAAAAGAGGATGGGCATTTTACCTTGTCAATGTCCCTGCCACGCTGAAGAAAGAAGAAAATATTTTTTTCAAAATCTTACAACTACAAAGCCAAATTCTGGCTTCCTCTCAACACAGTTCAGTTAGGGTAAAAATGTCAGTGATCCAAAAGAATGGAAATAAAACAGCAACTGTGGTTAAATTGATTTGCAAATCTTATCTTGTAAATTCAGTAATATATAATTCTTAAAATTTTCTTACATTTACTTTTGAATAGCAGAGCTTTGTCTTCAGAAGTAAATCTTTCCTACCTGGATGTGAATACATGAAGTAACATCAAGTTAGAAAAGTTGACGAACTTGGTCAGTTAATCAAAACAATGTAATAATAAACCATTGCTTTGCTGTATTTTCTCAGACTATGTGTCTCACAGTTATATGATGCAAGTTTATCTTATTAACCCAAGCCATAAAATTTTGATAACAACACTGCTAGCAGAGAAGAATTTTAAAACAGGACTACTTGTCATATGTCTTTCTTCCTCAGTCCCAAGCCGCT